TCGAGTTAGTTATGATCAGTGACTATTGACATATGATATTAACATCGCAGGGATGTTAGATGACATAAAATGTTTGGTATATAATATACTTTATTGTCCACCTTTCATTGGGGAAATTAATTCAGATTTTCTTTAGGCACTAGAACTTGCGTATACCTAATTATTATATAAAAATAAATAACAAAATTGGCTAATGAAATTAACTGTTCATAATATCCCACAAATCAATACTAACATACTTTCGGGCCTGCCTATAAACATTAAATAATATTATATATTTTTAATGTCTAATAGACATTTAGCAAAACACCACTCTGTTATACGTACCTATGTATATAATATATATTATGTGTCTACACCTCACACTCGATTTCTCTCGCAACCGATCTCAAATTGGTATTATTCCATGCAATGATGAAAAATATCGTTCTGTAGTGCCTCCATCACRCGTAGTTGTTGCAGTCAAAGGACACGTCATAATAGGAGACAGCTAAGGCACGGAAAATATTAATAATAGGTAGTCGTTACATATATTATTATTTTACACGGTTTTTAGAGTTTTACTAGGTATCTATAGGTAATTTGATTATAAACGTACAGAAGAAAAAATACGGGTTCGACGCGTATAATCGAACGTAATAATATTTGTCTTTAAACAACATAATATCGAATTTCACATTTTCAGCTGATTTAATCACGACATTGTTGTTGAGAGGGCGGGCGGCATCTCGGGCCCCACCCTTAAATACGCCCCTGCAGGCTATCACATTATTTTGTACGCAGATCGTTATACTGTATAACGTAATAATAATAAAGATAGAGCAACGTAACAATGTTATAATCGATATTAATTTGCTGCAGACGATATAATATTATTATTCTATTGGGACTCACGGTATGATGACGCGTATTGCCGGGACAATAAAAAAAAAAAAAAATTGTAAATATTATCTAGCTTTTGTCTCATACGCGTATAATACGTGCGGTATCGTGTAGATAAATAAATTCACTTGCGCCGAAGCACTTTTCAGGGTCTTTAACATCTTCGTATACGGAGTCAGTGCTGGCGGGGCCCGATACGCTATTATATGGCACACGCTTTACAGTGGTCTATGGCCTGTGCATAGTGAACGTGATGTTTGACTGTTGCGGCTCTTTTGAGTTTTGTACGAGCCCCAGCAAAGACTATATGTATATATAAATATATATATAGCATTACGTGCAATAAAATTATTATGTCCGTATAGGTCGTAAATTAAGGCCATATAGCCGGATAACTCGAGTATTATACTATTGTAGGTACCTATAGGTTACGGTGTTGTTTATTAACATATTATAATGTTCTCAKTTGTCGGCCATAATAAGCCAACTGTTTAGTTGGTTTCCAGTCAAACAATTTGTCTGTCCGTAAGGTTAAAAAATAGAAGAGAACTGCRTATTTAAAAAGGAACAGAATCAATGCATCATTATGACAATAGGTACAAGGTATCTATATYGATATCGTGGGCTGCATTTTGAACGCAAAGCCATAGAGGTTTGAATCGAACWACGAGGTTAARTCTCAGTCCATCGATAGAAATTCAGATCAGATAGTCCATTYAGACAGCATAATGTGCAAATTTTAATATTTTCTAATTACTTTAATTAGAAATCATAATGTCAGATTAAAAATTACGCAATTACAATATCTGCAAACAAGTAAAGGCTTATTGATAATAATATGTAAAAATGTGATGCGACCGGCCACCGTTCATATAGTAAATGATGACAATAATATTATAACCATTCGTTACACTCGCATTTATCATATCGTATTATTGTTTATTAGGTGCGCATTACTATTGTGCGAGCCACGCGGAGGTCGTCTTCAATATAATATATGAGTGATGAAACACAATAGTGTTCGCACATGCCTATTGAACAATACTATTAATTATTATTATTATATTAATCATCAATAACAACATAATATAATATAACGTTCSTTTAATTGAATAATAATATTATAATATGTCATCATCATCTGCAGGAGAGTAACGCGAGCTTTCTAAATACCTCRTACAATGGAATGCGTGCGACATAATAATACAATAATATAATAATATGTATGTACCTACATTTATGTGGGCACATAATTTTATTAAATTATAGACTTGAGTGATGCTCGTGCAGGATGACTTTTTAAACACGCTCGACCACATTTTCCCTTACATTAATTCAAATTCTGATTTTTAGAATTCTTAAGTATATCTATAAAGACCATATTTTTAAATTCTTGATATTTTTTGTACTGCTTAAGATGTGCCCTGTAGCAAAACAAAGTTTCGTTTTTCAAATGAGAGCCCTCTTTGTTTATCGCAAATTATTTGGAGGCTTTTTTGGGAATTTTGATGTATCCAAACAGCGCAGAAAAAGAGAGTATTATTATAATATTTGAAAAAGAGAAGTTTGTACTGTCACGATATGTATACGGCTGTGCAAAAAAACTCTGCAAGTGTTCGAAAATTTGGTCGGTCTTCAAGTGTATTCAAAAATTCCAAAAATCGGAATTTCGATGTGTGCGAAATTTAAGCATAAACTTCGGGTGAGCATGCATAATGAATCATTCTGTATGCAATACACGTCAAAAGATACAAACATAAATATATATATATATATATATTGATTGTTAATGTATATACTTACCTCAGCGAGTATGAAGTTCCATAATGGACGTGTTTGCGCGGCCGCGGTGTACAGCTAAAAAACTTCTGGTGATGCTTATAGGTATAATATTTAGAAGACGTCAATTACAATGCCGTTGTAATAATATTGCGTACCGTCACCGTTTTGGGTATTAATCCGCCTGGCAGTTAAACATATTATTAGTCCACCACGGCGAGTGTGGAAAAATACAAACGTCCGCGCGACATCGCTCTATAAACCGTGATTTGTGACGATTAGGTCATTTTTTTAATATAGGTACTCGTCGTGTGTGTACAAAAACTTAAACGGCCGGTGCCGAATTTCAAGAGGAGGATATCACTATCGACTACCGATGGATGATGATTAAGATGTCATGTCGCATGTTTTTCGTAAAATAAAAATCAATATTGTCACAGCGGAAATGTCACCGCGCAGTTTATTTGCTACGACTATTTACGTTTCCTTATATACATGCTGTATGTGCATATAACTATTATTATCATGCCCTTATATTATAGTTATATATTTGTATACGCTAATGTAATATATAACTTGTTCRGCGGACAGTGTATATATGTTACGAAGAGGATATGCCGAAAAAGTATTCACGTAAAAGTACGGATATTACGACTGTCGTGTGACTTATTCTAATGTTAAAACGACATCACGATTATTACGATTTTAGCAGTATAGTGTTGGTGCACCATGGTGGAATATTTTGTTTTACCTACTTCCAGTTGGGTGAACTGCAGAGATGCATTTATATATGTCAATACGCTATTATAATTTTTGTGTGACGCCAACGATTATTTTGTACATCACATTGTAACGATGGTTTCGTTTTTGGGACATACGACGCACTAAATTGTAGCTTCTATGATATTCGTCTTTTTCCACCGATTCCTCATCAGAAACCTGTACCTTAAACTTAAAATATTTACTTACGTAATATTTTTATAAATAAATATTAATTTTTTAATCATGGTAATATTTACCACGCAGTTTTAGACTATTATTATGATGCTAATAACTATTAACTAATTTTTAAAACAGCCCAAACTTTGAGGTGTATACAATATATAACTTATATAAGTATAGATAATATGTGCAACAGTTACTAATGTTACTATAGGTTATTTGGTACGAAACGCATCACACTATATAAAAGTGTGGTCGATCTCAGGCCAGTCCTATTTTTTGCAATAGTACACAATTTGCACGAAAAATAAAATATAACTAATCGTTTATTCATTACTTTCAGTTATTCAACGACAATAGAAATTGATTGGGATAAAACAAAAAATTGTCTTTTAATGCGTGTGTATAATATTTATATAGATATATAATATTATATTACGCAATATTATAATATGTACAAATATATTATTATAGTTTATGATTTATATAGTATAATAGTAGTAGTAGTTAATCGATATAATATAATATAATAATGTAAACAAATATGAATACGAACAAAGTGCAAAATCTAAAAAAAATGTTTTTGTGGTTTTTTTTTTTTGGTATTGGGTTAACGAAAAATTAAGTACGAACAAATATAATATATATATATATAACAAACAAACAAAATATAACAAGCGCGTAGTAATAATATAAAATGTACATTACATATATCTAAAATGTATTAATTATATGTATAATGTATATAAGATAATAGTGTACGAACAATTTATTAGTATAATATACAGTATAAGTATAAATTACGGGGTATTTACAAAATTGGATATACATGTACATTGTACAATATTATTATATTATATTACAATGTAAATCTAAAAATATATTGTACAAGTTTTATGTATATTGCCGCGGCCGCCGGCCGGAGCCAAAGCGTTTACACGAACAAATTTATTTACAATTTTTTTTTTTTTTTTAAAGGATAATAATAATAATAATAATATATATATATATATAAACGTGTATCAATTGATCTAGTTCCCTACGACAAATTAAGTTTTACCGAACATAATATTTAATAATAATATGATTATACCTACACAACTTACTGGCGTAAAAATAAATATAATAACTTGTAACTGCACACATAATAATGATAATAATAATGGATTTCAATACGATTATTGTACTTGCAACAATCGTTTAAAAAACGACAAACACTATAATATTATCTACTCCTATAGTAATATTAACGCGAAAAACGATACACATTATTACACTATACGTACCGTTTCTCCCGTGACATTATTAGGTACTATTATTATTATATTGTTATAACTCTACGCATGCTAATATCATTATCATTATTGTTCTATAAATTACGTCTATATTAAGATTATTTATTTATATTTTATGATTTATTTTGTATGGATAATGATAATAATAACATAGTAACCGTATATAAAATATAGTGAGAAAGACTAGGACGCACGAGCCAATCGAATGTTTTGTTGGCAGTTTCGGACCACCATCACATCATCTCCACCTGGATCAATATACCTACTTTTTTATACTATAAATAAACACAGCGGCCGAAATATTATTATTTTAAATCGTTTGATTCTCGTCCATGGCGACCGATCGGAAAATAAATACTAAACAGTAAACACTACGTTTTCACACGCCGATTTCATCATCGTGTGGGTTACGCTTACTGCTACGATGCCACGAAAAAGAAAAATTAAAAAAAATGAGATCTCAATACCATTGTCTAACACAGCACGGRTTATGGGCGATGGGTATCGTGGTCGCGTGGTGTCGTCGGAAGACTCTTCGATAACAACTATACAACCACACTGTCTTAGGGATGCGCCTCGTGCTTACATAATTAAGATCTTTTTTTTTTTTTCAGAAAATTTAGAAAACCTACGAGGAACGTTATTATTTGTTTTAACGAAACACCTATAATTATTATTATAAAATTATTATAGACTGAACATTATATTGCATCGTGCAGTGTTGCATTTTATGTGCAGCTGCTACAGACACGACTGCTGATTTTGCCGACGACCACGAATAACAGATAATATAATATTATCATAATAAACTTTAATGTATGATATATATATATATATATATAATACATTCGCGCAATAACCTACGAAAATGTTCATTCGTCGTACTTGACCGGCTGTTGCTGTTGCTGTTGCTGCAACAGGTGATCGGTGGGCGAACCGCACGCGGCCGACACCGCCAATGCCGGTTGCGGTTTCTTCTTGAGTATTCCCATGTTCTGGGCCGTCTCCAAGAATATCTTGTGCTCGCTGAGCGCGGCCAGCGTCTCCCGGTCCTTCTTCTGTTCCTCGTAGTCGCGTTTCATCTTGGCCCGGCGGTTCTGGAACCACGTGATGACCTGTGCGTTCGTCAGGCCCAGGCTGGACGCGATCTCGTCCCTGTCGGCCGGCGAGAGGTACTTCTGGTACAGGAATCGTTTCTCCAGCTCGAATATCTGGTGGTTGGTGAACGCGGTGCGCGACTTGCGCTTCTTTTTGGGCTGCGACCGAGAGTTGAACAGGTTCAGATGACTGGAACTGGTATCTGTGAACAGAAAACGAGACATTTTTTTAGTAAAAAACGGTCGATGAAATTCACACGTAATGATGAWAGCCCTAAGGTACTGCGCGACGGCTCTCGATGAAAACAAAAAAAAAGGTGAAAACGAAGAAGCATTCTAAAAAAAAAAAAAACATGCGCGCAGACTTTTTTATACTCGTGATTTTTACACTTTAAGACACGATACCTATTGCGCGGTCGGAAAAGTATTTCTCGGGATGTCACCGTTGAAAATCAAAGGTGATAATACATTTATATTAATTCTAATGTCAATATATTTAGTATATTTTATTCGACCGTTCGACATATCTGAAATGCTACGATATAATATATGCACAAGCATCGAACAACAGATGAGCTCTGGGTTTCAAAAAAACGCGGAAAATTTTTTAATTGCCACGTGAAACTCGTCATATTTATTTAAAAAAAAAAAAAAAATGACAGTATAAACGATACAATATAGGACGATGGTGGCCTTTAAAGTTATACTGGCGCAGCTCACGGTATATATATAGGTATTATATACAACTTGAAACCGTTTATGTTATAGATCGTCCGCGGAGATACCTAATAACCTGCGTTATTGATTTGTGATCGCAGTCAGTTCTATCCAACGGTCGAACACGCGTCAAACACACAGTCAACGAAGCCTACTCGGGGCACTATATTATATATCGTAATGTACACAGTGTGTTAACATCGCTTCCAAATCACAATCTCCGTGAGAAATGCGAAGAGTGGTTTTGCCTAGAATATTATCTTATTGACACGCTCTCGGCTGGCAGAGTTGGATTCGTTTGTAGCCCGGATGAACACGAGCTCCGGATTATCGATGATGATCCGCGACCGCGACCAAACGGAATTCGGAAGTTCGGTAATTATTATTAATCACCGCAAATAGCGTTATACACATGCACTGCAGCAGCAGCAGTAGCAATGTATAATATACAGTCATCGCAGTGCGATTTATCGGACGGTTACGATTCGTCGATACGACACGCCGTTCGTACAGCATTTATATATACATAATTATATTAGGTTAGGTACCTATATGTATATATAACGATAACACGCAGATATATACTTAGAGTATATATATTTCTGTATGTATCGTTTACGTATACAAATCGGGTGTGCACAATCGATTGACCCGCGGCCGGCCGCGATTGATTCGGYTCGAAACGCGCGATTWGGGGCGCAAACATTTTCGATATAATCGCGACGCTGACACGCCTGAGAATTTAATAATATAACGAGACGGCCAGACTATTGACGGGCGTATTTAAAACGGCGGCGGCATGAATATAAGTATATAATATAAAATATGTACATCGTATATAATATAATATAATATATTATATTATATAACGACCGTCGACCATGTTAGTGGTCTAATAATAACACGAGCGATGTTGTCGATGGCGAAACGTAAATCAAAAATATGGAGCAGCGGCCGCGAGAACATTGCGAACAACATTTGAAAAAATTGTATGATACATATATATTATATAATGTATGGGTACGAAAATAATAATAATAAACGGTATATACGATCGCCGGCAGAAAAAGACTTATCGCCGCGGCCGTAAAAATTGCGGAGAAGGGTTCGGTTTTGCACTCACGAGAAAACCCGTTAAAAATGTCAACTGCGACAAAACTACAGAACCGCGACTAATCCGCCGTTTGAACGAATAAATCACATTTCATCTTTGCAGCGCATAAATGACACGCACACGCCGTTTAAATGTTTTACTGGCAAGCGGTCGCTATTAATTACTATTATTATTATTGTTATTATTGTATATATAAAAACTACAAATAATTTAATATATTATACGTAATATTACCGCCCGACGTTACAGAATGTATCGTCGTTAATCTCGAAAATGCGTGAGACGGAATTCAACATAATAATTATTATAATATTATACTTTTACGGAGCACAATAAGTGCACTATAACACACCCTCCGACGTTTCCCAAGATAGAAGCTATCGTTTGGCGTCAGAAATTTCGGTGCTGAATAGTGAATAGTATATTATTGTAACGAAACGAATTTAAGAAACATAAGTAGTTATASGAGTAATAACTACAGTGATTACTTATTATATTACCGAGGAGAGTTGTTCGCGCGGTCTCTAAAGGGTGATAGGATTTTTCTTTTTGCAGGTCGTTTTCCAAAAATATAATACGTCGGCATGATGCTGGGTTCGTGGATAGCAAACGTATTATATATGTAATGCGTTTCAATTATATTATTTAATAATGCAATAATATATGTTATGTGTATATATTTATATTCTAAAAACGATTTTTTCTTTTTAAGCTTCCGTTGGAGATCCTCTTCAGTCCCTCCATCGAACAATACTCGTAAATACGAGTGTACAGGTCAGGCCACTCTTAAACACGATTTTGACGTTTTTGTACTAAGTTTTCAGGACGAGCGCGTGCCGTTAGTAAAAATACGCAATAAAAAATTAAAAAGCGGTAAAAGAAGAAAAAGGAAAATAAAAATAAAAATAAAAAACGGCAACCGGGCATGGCTGTTTTATKGCTCGGGAAGAAGCGACCAACCGACCGACCGAATTCCACAGCTAATTTGTAATCTGTGAATTTATACGAATGAACGTGTATACTCGTAGTAGGAATTCATAATTTAACTAACGAGCAAACGACAAGCGAAACGTCTSTTTCTCTCTCTCTGATTTAATAGCCAAAGATTTTCGAATATAATATGTGAAGGCCGTCGGCGCGGTGCGTAGTTTATGTTCGAGAAAAAAAATGCACTTTCACGTGTGCACAACGTATATAACATATATTATGTATAATATTTGTAGGTAGTATAAATTATTGTAAAATGTGCATTTGATAAGCTAGTAAAAAAAAATACGTTTCCCCCCACACACACCGCTCGCAACACCATTAATTGGACGTCTCTCACGTCTCTCATCGGCGGCGGCATTAGTAGTGGGTGGCAAAAGATTTGTATTTTATTTTTCCTTATTCCTTTGTGTCCATGTTTTTACACGATTATTACCACTAAACAACACTATACACAACAACTACCCCGCGTAATGCCGACCAATGCCACGGTCCGGTAATCACTCTATGGAGGCGGTGGCGGCGGTCACTTATTTCACACTTATTTTGATCCGTGGAATTTTTCGGTCCTCCTCGGTGACGTGTACAACATYAAACGTATTGTGTGTACCCTGAGAATATTTCTGTTCTGTTTTCAGACGGTTTGTCGATTTTTTTTTGTACTTTACATTCGTCAGATAAAGCTTTCATTATTATTGTCTTATAAACTATTATAATTAAAATTAATGTATGATTCCGACGCGTAAAAAGGCTCTCTATCTCGTACGACGCTCTCGATGGCGGCAATTAATGCGTTCACCGTTTTGGAAAATGGCAAACAACAGAGGCCCTTTCAAATAGACTGGTGACTAATGAAGTAATGACGGTTCCTCGCTCGAGAGCGTAGGCAGCAGAAATGGTGCGGTCGAAAATTCCGGATTATTATCGTCGTCGTCGTTGTCGAGCTCAGCGATTTTTCGCTGTTTAACAGAGAGGTTCATTATGAATATTGTTATTATTATTAAGAGTTAAAKTTTGTTAATTTTAATTTTTGGTCGAATATACCGAAAATCTGTCGAGATTAACGGCATGATAATTTTTCTAATTTATTGTATTTCAACAATTAAACAACTAACTGCCGTCGTGAGCAGACCATCGCACTTCGCATATTATACTAATAAACAAATAGATAATACAATAAAGAGAACTATTATAAACCCGTTGTAACTTGTATAGCCCACATACCTACCGTGTATCACGAATAATGACTATAAAATATCGCWGTCGATAAATTAATAATAATAATAATAACTGGTCGAAAACTATATTAGCTAACGCTCAGTACATTGACATGATAATATAAAACATCTTTATATGGCTATATAATATATTATATAAGTGAGCAATATATTATTATAATATCGATACAAATAATAATATAACGTTCATGTAGTAATTTTATCGCAACTGCCTTGTCGCTTCTATAATAATAATAATATGATCCTCAATGCGAACAACGATAACGCGTAAGTATTATTACAACAATCTAATATGGGTAATATCTTCGCGTATATAATATAATGTTATTACCTACCATCATATTAAAATATACGTGCTGGGCCGGTCGTGGTGGCGGCGGCGGCCGAGCCGAGCCGAGCCGAGTCCGGCCGAGCAGCGCGTTACGGCGCTACGGTAAGTTACGCGGCGTGCCTCGGCGGTGGGTAATAGCCGCGGGGCGCGCCGTCTCATGTCGGCGGCCACATCAAAGGTCCCGCGCATGGCAGGTGTGACTAAACAGCAGAGGCGGCTCCTCTGATCGTATCGCTTCTTATTACCGCCGCCGCCGCCGACACCGGGGCCCCGACATTCCGGTGCGCGGGTTCTCAAAATTGTTCTCGTGCGCGCGTAAGGTTAGGTTCGAATACGACGAAAAAAGCAATATCGGAAATAGGTAATACTATAGAGGCGAGCACAACATGTCGTGTGTTCCATTAATACAATACTTACACGTAATAAACTATAATATGGTGTCCTACATCAAGTACGTAGTATTGTACGTATATAAACGTACGTTGTGTCTCAACTTACCACGACGTGATAATATTATATAATTTTCTATTTACACCGTATATTATTATGTTACACCTCTGTATAATATATAATAAGTACTAACTGTAGCGGATAAATCCGACGAGCCTATAAATAATTGGTCGATACGTTGCAGGGATGAGAGGCAAATCTTCGTATATCATTATCAAAAAACGTATTATATCGTGTATACCGATTATCATCGAATTCGAAGACGAATACATCTTTGGTAATGAATATTGATTTATTATGAATTATATAAGTATACATAATATGATCTCTCGGCTGTTACAGGTTGTATGTACCTACTTATAGTTA